GATTGAAGAATAATCGCAGAAATATAGAGTTCCATCGACCTTACGAGTGACGCTAGGAGTAGAGCTGACATCGAAAAAACTGAGATAATCCTATCTCGTAGCTTCGCTCCCCCATGAGATACTATGTGGAACTACCGGACCGCTCTTATTGCCCGGATTCTCTGGGTCAAAGTCCAAGCGGTCGGGGATTCTCAAACCAGCTGGTAAATGGTAACGAACAAACCAGACAGAGACACCATCCTTGTACAGCCATGGGTCTTCTGTTTGGCGTTGCCACGTTTCCAATCGCGACCTGAGATCGTCAAGAACGGCTGTGTAAGCTGGATCCTTCGCAAGATTGTGAACCTCTCTTGGGTCCGCCTCCAAATCGTAAAGCTCCTCTGGGGGGCGGAAAAAGTAGTCTCTTAGTTTCCGTCCGCCGACCATGATGTCCGTTTCGCTTGAATTACGGATATCCTCCCAAGAGAGGGATCCATACAGGTCAGCTGCGAAAGGGAAATCCAAACGCCAGGCCAGATTGCGGTGGTATTTGTACCGACGATCGCGAATGAAACGTGTGGGCCAGTAATTTGTCACTTCATGGAAGGTGTGCGAGCCAAATGTCTGGTTGAAACCTGGCAAGCCGTTGGAAGTTCCAACAAGCGGTAGAAGGGATCGGCCCAATCGCTTTTTCTCCGGATCGGTGACCTCAGGATGACCCACAAAGTCAAGAATAGTAGGAAGAATGTCAACATAGGAGATCGTGTTTGGGCTAACGGCAGGAGGGGTGTTTGGTTGTCTAATGATCAGAGGAAGCCGGACACCCGCATCATAGAGTGTTGTTTTGGAGTTGATGAAAGGCGGGCCATTATCGCTGAGGAAGATGACGAGGGTCGAGTCTTCTAGGCCAGTCTCCTTTAGAGCATCCAGCACAAACCCGACACCTTGATCAAGACGATGAATTGATTTGTAGTATTCGACCAGTTCAGAGCGAGTACCGGGGGTATCATTGACGAATAAGGGAATCGGAACATTTTCTGGTTCGAGATGAAGCTTAGTGATTCGAGGATCATAGTCATCCGTGTTTCCAAAGCCACCTCGAGTTCGGTCGCGATGAGGATCGTGATACCCGATAGTCAGTGCAAACGGTCTGTTGCTGGATTTTGCTTCCTCGAGAAACGATCTGGCCTGGTCGGCAATAACAGCAACATCGCGAGTGTCGCTCTCCTTGCGCAGTTGCCAGGGATAAACAGCAGATGGCCCTACATGAACCTTGCCCAGAATCCCCGTCCAGTAACCCGCTTCATTCAATAGATGAGGTAAACTCTTCACGTGGTCAAACGTCACGAAATGATGACGGTGGCTCGCAAGCCCATATTGTCCATTCTGGTGGGTGTGAAGACCGGTGTAAATGACAGAGCGACTCCCGCTGCAGGACGCCGTACTTGCGAATGCGTAGTCAAACCTGGTTCCTTGCTCTGCGAGGCGATCGAGGTTTGGCGTTTGGGATGTGTTGTCCCCGTAGCAGCTGAGTTGTTTCCCCAGATCATCTGCGATCAACAGAAGAACATTCTTCTTACTCGCCATTGTTGTGAAAGAAGCAAAATAAAGTAAGGCTGCGCCAAAGACCTTTGTAGCTCGTGGACAAAGAAGGTAAGAAATGCAAAGTTCCAAAGGAAGACGGGGTGCTGTGGGAAGCTGTCCAAGACCCCTGTTGAACCCCGCTTAGGATCACCTACCCTCGCATGGGCGGATAGGGAAATACCTCATAAGCTCAAGGAGTTAGCACCTAAGGTAACTACTGCAATTCCACCTATAGGAAGAGTTCCCTTGCTTGAACTTCGGGTAATTAGAGGTTCGGTTTAACCCGCTGCATCAACGCAATTCCGTCAGCAGATGATGTGCTTCCCGGACACATAAACACCATAACGTCCTTATCAAAACCACACTTCTTCTATCATGATCTCGTAAGTCGACATATCGATATAAATTAATCACGCCATATACTCTACACCGTCAATATATTGCTTTCATGTTGCAATGCGCCCTTAAATTAGGAATTCCTGAAGAAGAGCTGAAGTTGGAGGCATGTGCCTGAGAGGGTCCACTTCTGATATTCTCTGTGCTATGGTAGCTTAGTTTATGGCAGAAAGGAGCTATCACGTAGTACTTGGACATGCATGATGATGCTATGCGTAGCAATAACCAAGAAGATATAAATAATGTAGCTGAATTTCGCGGCCTCTTTTCAGGAATACTTCTCCCATCTACAATATATTTCTTCCCACGCAAGATAGAAAACCACGTGGACATTACAAAGTTCTCAATGCGTTTAACCTCATTAATTCCCGTCTCCCTGCTCGCTGGCCTCACAGTTGGCCAGCTGATTGGCCCGGTCGGTCCAACAACTAATCTTGAAGACAAGAATATTGAGTGCAACATCCTAGATTATGGTGGTGTTGCCGATAATCAGACCGATGTTGCAGCATCCATCGAGGCCACTTTCACCGAATGTGTGCTGAACAACCCCAAAAGTCGTCTTGTTATCCCCGAAGGCGACTATTTGATCAAGCGAAGCGTTGTTCTGAGTAATGGAACCAATTGGGCATTCCAGCTTGACGGTCTGATCACCGCGGCATATGGTGGAAACTGGACAGTCGACCGTGAGTTGATACTCCAAGGGTTTGCGGGAGAGCAAATAATAAACTCTACCATCAACGGCGAGGGTGACGGAAAATTCTTACTAGATGTGCTCGTCATTGTGAACGGTACGATTTACCCTCTGTTTCTTGGTAAGACATTACTCAGGCTTATTCGCTTTCAATATGTACAGCTGTCGATTTCGAGTTTTATTCGTCCAACGGGCTGGGCGCATTTCAGGGCCAAGGATATATCTATCGAAACTTGGAGAAGTGAGTTATCTGAAATCGTGCTCTTAAACACAGCTGATGGGCTTCAAAGTACCGACCGCCCTCGACTTGTGAGGCTTATTTCGCCTACGAATGCCTCCGTGCATGATTTGATCCTTGTGGATAGTCCCAAGTTCCACATCGTGTTTGACTTCGCTGTGAACCTGGAGGCATACCACCTTACTATCCGCGGTGCTAACCTAGGAAGCTATGATGGCATAGATGCCATCGGCACCAACTATTACATCCACGATAACGAGGCAAGTAAAAGGTCCTTATTTTCACGATATAACAGGGGCTAACAACCAGACCAACGACAGGTCACAAACCGTGACGAATGTGTCTCTGTGAAAAGTCCATCCCATCATGCTTTGGTCGAGAACCTGGTTTGCAACCAAGCAGGCTCTGGCGTTTCAATCGGCAGTCTCAACGTATCTGCGGAAATATCCAACATTGTGGGTCTCATCAGTTATTGATTCGTCATAGGTCTTGGCAGATACTGATATGAAACAGGAAGCTCGCAATATCAGCATTATCCAGGGTAACAACATCGCCTTCATCAAGACGTATCCTGGAGGATCTGGATACGTTAGAGATGTCACGTTTGAAAACTTCCGGTCCCTGAACAGCCTGTACGGATTGGACATCAACCAATACTGGCAAAACACATGGGAACCTGATACCGGCTCCGTGACATTGAGCAACCTTGTATTCAAGAACTTCTCAGGTATTACGGCCCCTTTTTGTCGGTCAAGTCAGCCCTCATACTCACGCACAAACATAGGATCGGTTGCCGATGGAGCACTCCGCCCGCCATTGTATCTGTTTGCCAGTGACTTGACCTTTGCAACAAACGTCACCGTGGAGGAATTCTCTGTATGGACTGAGACTGGTACGACAGTCGTGAATAAGATCAGCAATATCTTTGGCACTGGAGATGACAGTTATGGAGAAAATGACGGAATTGAAACTCTGCAGTCTGGAGAGTCGCCGTATACATATACCAGCACCTATACTATCACGGCTTCTCCGACCAATTGGCAAGCTCCATCAACCCCAACATGGGCCTTACCGAGCACTGGATACGGAAGTAAGTCAAATGGTAGTGTTCGTGCCACTGAACAGAAAGCTAACTAGTCAATAGCGGCGTCACCCATCCCGGTCTATACTCCCGCACCCCTTTGGCGTCCTGGTGGAATCGACTACAATCTTCATTACTGGGGAAGCTTTTAGTTAGATCATCAGCACGACTGTTCGTATAACGTATGTCGGGTATGGTAGTAGAGAATGTATAGACAGACTTGGCTTGATACAAGCTTCTTCTGGGCTTTTTTTGTAAGGCAGAAAGAGCAATTATTCTCGCCCGCTACTAGTATAGAGCTCCTTGACATATCCCGATAATGAAAGGCTGGTCTCCCGACCATAGTTCCACTTTTACGAACACGTATAGCATCCTTTCACATGTTCCTATCAGCGCAGCCCAGTATTGCGTAGAATAACACACCGCTGGCAAGTGAACGGAGATACCAAACTACGCCAATTCCAAAGCTGGCTCAGTCGAAGTACGGTCTACCAGCACTAGCAATTTCCCACCAATCCTGATAAATAAATTTGAACAGGGCCTCGACTGTCGGTAAATTAAGCAAGGAGGGGCACCGACAGCGTTCAGGGTCCTGCGTGGGCTATGATTGGAGTAGCCCTAGCTTGTGTCATCCGCGCTTACATGACGACGATGGTCAGCAGCAGCAACACATGGTCGGTTTGCGCCAACTTAGACTTAAGCAAATTGTAAGGCAGCTAGTTGCTGTCGTCGTCCAATTAATATAATATAATTCTACTACTATCTCATTAGTATATTTTTGCTTAGCAGTGATAGTATAGTATGTCTGGTGGTACTTTGATAAGGCAAATGCCCATCACCTCATCGCCATTGTCGATCACGCACCTCCGTACTCGAGCCTCGAGGGGCTACTGCCCTATGTACCCATCACATGTATATAACTTCAAGATAACCAACGTGCGTTCATCTCCAACAAGCCATACTATCTCGGTCGGTCCTGGATTAACTGTTATACCATCTTGTTCTTGTCTGGCATACGGCTCGCTCTGACTATGGAGCGAAATTCCTCCAAAGCTGCGTCTTCTCTGGATCGCGATCAAGTGGACAGAAGCCAAGACCTCAAAGATGGAACCTATGTGAACCTTGCCGAGCCGGATGATTCCCCTGGCTCCGATGCAGTCCTTACTTCTCTCTTCCGTCGGACCAAGAAACACGACCCCGACGCCATCGCCACCACTAGAAGTGTATTCGACGATCCATCCCTTGCACCATTTTACCAACCCCATCCAAAGTATGAGAATCTTCATCGCTTCGACCCCAGCGCACGATGGACCTATCGGGAGGAGAACAAAGTCCGACGTAAGACAGACTGGTCAATTCTTCTCTGGATCCTGGTTATGTTCTTCGGGTTGAACCTCGATCGAGGCAACCTGAGCAACGCCAACTCCGACAACCTTCTCGGCGATCTGAACCTGACTACGAACGACTACAACAATGCGCAGAACATGTACCGCGTGGGTTTCCTAATTGCAGAAATCCCTTCGCAGATGCTCGGAAAAGCAATCGGTCCTGATCGGTGGATTCCCGTTCAAATCATCTTGTGGAGCTTCGCATCCGGAGGACAATTTTTCATGCACAACCGAGCGGGATTCTTCGCGTGTCGATTCTTCATAGGGCTGTTCATGGGCGGCTTTATCCCCGATTCCATCTTGTATTTGTCCTATTTCTATACCAAGGCGGAGATGCCGTTCCGCCTGGCACTGTTTTGGTTCACTGATTCGATATCGGGTGTCATCGCATCTTTCATTGCGTACGGTGTCTTGCATATGCGCGGAGTTGACGGGCGGGAAGGATGGAGATGGCTTTTCCTAATCGAAGCGCTGATCAGTTTCGTGATCGGCTGTTTAAGCTTCTTGTTTCTGGTCCCTGGACCCACTCAGACCAGAACGTGGTGGAACCCGAAAGGGATCTTCTCGGAAAGAGAAGAGACCATCATCGTTAATAGAGTGCTGCGTGATGATCCATCGAAGGGCGACATGCACAATCGCCAAGCATTGTCCCTGGGGATGTTGTGGAAGAGTCTCAAAGACTATGACCTCTGGCCGATATACATCATCGGAATCATGTTCGAGATCCCGACGTCACCTCCGAAGTCTTATCTGACCTTGTCGCTAACGGCGATCGGCTTTTCCACATTCCAGACGACCCTCTTGTCCATTCCGGTGACTGTCTTTGCCGCTATCAACCTTGTACTCGTCGCGCTCTTATCTGAGTTCTGGGGCCAAATCTCAATTGTTTGCCTCCTGACCCAGCTGTGGTCGCTTCCACTCCTCATTGTCCTCTATACATCTGCTGGAAGCCTTTCCAATTGGGGGCTCTATGCCGTCTCGTTCATTTTACTGGGTTGGCCGAATCCACAAGCTGCCCAGGTGAGTTGGTGTTCACGGTTGAGTAACAGTGTCAGAACCAGAGCAGTCGGTGCAGCGGTCTTTAATATCATGATTCAACTGTCTGGAATTGCCTCTTCCAACATTTACCGATCGGATGATAAGCCTCTGTATCGCCGTGGAAATAGACAGCTGATTGCGATCAATGTTGCCACTATTGTCATGTATGCGCTGGCCAAGTTTTATTATGTCTCTCGGAACCGGTGGAAGAAGGCTCAATGGGACAAGATGACGGCCCAGGAGAAGGCGACTTACTTGGAGACAACCACGGATGAGGGGAATAAGCGACTTGACTTTTATTTCGATAGTTGAAAGAGTTATTATGCTGCTGGGGTAATTCGCGGGTTGGTAGGAGACGTTCTTGTCAAAAGATTTAGTGGTTAGTAGCGGACCGCATTGGTGAAGGGTGACTGTTTGTCGACAGGACAAGCAATGAATTTAAAAACTGGCCATAAAAATAATCATCCATACATTGTCGTGAAAATAGTGAACTCCTCAAAAGTATATGGTTATCAGAGCGACCATTAGAGTGTGTCGTTCGTGCCTTCGGTTATCACACAGTGGAATACTTGTAGGGTAGCAATAAATTCGAAACAGCAGATGTCATACATAAAATCAAGGAGCATATATTGTTCTGCAAGGAAATGAATGAAATTTAAGATTTTCTCCGACAGAAAGATTTTCTTCCTGGTTTTATGCAGTTTTTCGCGGCTTCTGGTCCGCGGTAGATAGTTGGTTTTTTAAAAGTTGGGCGGAAACGAACACGAAAACGAACCAAAATAGAAACAGGGGTCCTCCGGCTTAAACGAATATACGAGTGGACCCCCACTATAGATCTGGGATCATCGGCGAAAAGGTCACCAAATGTTCAGGATAGGATGCTTACATCCAATAGCAGCTACTTTGTAGACAGTAGCGCCTGTTTCAAGCTTCTTGATCCGACCGACTTCTGGACCCGAATAAACCACCCCGTTCCCTGGGCGAACAATGCTAAGGCCTTAGTACAAATGAAGTGTTCTCCGTAGCCCCATATTATCATACTATACACAACGAGGTTTTCGTTGCAAAACGGTTTCCTCAACCTCACCTGTGCGGGTCCATTTTCTGTTAGTCTGTTGTTCGAAGTCCCAAGGCACTATGGACTGATAGTATAAGTACCCAGCTCCATAAGAACTTTCCCCGTCTGGCCTTCGAGAGATTTTCCAGGCCCTCCTTCTCTCACTACTGTTTATTATTTTTTCTCACACTCTTTTCCGATCTTATATATCTTTACTTCGTTGTTATTACTTTTCATTGACCACAAAATGCTGGGCTCCAGAGATCCCGAAAGTTATGAATTCGCATTCTACCGCTATAACCCCAGCATGGGTGGCGCCGTTCTTTTCATCCTTCTCTTCATTGGCACAACAGGGTATCATGTCTTCCAAATGGTCAAATCTCGCACATGGTTCTTCATTCCATTTGTCATAGGCGGTATATGTATGATACTCCCCACTGTTAATAGCCCAGAAACATGCTGACTTTACTAGTTGAGATCATCGGATATATCGGACGTGCCATGTCCAGCAAGCAGAGCCCAAACTGGACGCTCGGACCTTACATTGTGCAGACGCTGTTCCTCTTACTCGCCCCTGCCCTCCTTGCAGCCTCTATATACATGCTACTCGGTCGGATTATCCTCGTGTTACAGGCTGAAACCCATGCACTGCTGAAAAAGAAGTGGTTGACGAAGATTTGTCACGGGCGATGTGCTTTCGTTCTTACTGCAGGGAGCAGGTACGTGTTTTCTAGTCAACTCCTTCAGTGCTTAACTTCTCTCTGACTCAATTCAGGCGGCGGAATCCAGTCCAGTGGCAGTCTGTCCGCCATGAAGACTGGCGAGCACATCATCGTCGTAGGCCTTGTGATCCAGATATTCTTCTTTGCATTTTTCATGATCACCGCGACCCACTTCTACCTGAAGGTCAAGAAGTATCCGTTCCCTCGATCTTGCTCTCCGCATATTCCTTGGAAGAAACACATGAAGGTACTCTACGCGACGAGCTTCTTTATCATGGTCCGTTCCATGTTTCGACTCATTGAGTACATTCAAGGAAATAATGGGTTTCTCTTGCACCATGAAGCCTTTCTTTATATTTTCGATGCACTGTTGATGTTTATCACCATGGTCATATTCAACGTTGTCCATCCGCAAGAAATCGGCCAGCTACTCCAACACCCCAATGACTATGACATGGCGTCTTTCCCAGAAGAGCAGACCCCAAAGCCCTACCAAGGGTACAATAATGTGTGAGATAGCTGTGGCCTTGATACTACGATCGGTCGCCATAAAATCTGCCCCTGTTCGCGCTATATATATTATGTTCGTTGTCTTCTTTCCAGTCCCGACTCTTTACTACTTCTTATCTACATCTTAATAACACCTTCAATTTCAGGCGGATGAACAAGCCTTGCCAAATTGTGGGGCTTATAGCTACATTCCCGTCACGTGACTTTGCCTCAAGAGGCCGGGTTAGTGCAATTAGAAACGATAGAATCATGACATTTTTACAAAGGAGTTCTGTACTATTCAGGCTGTTATTCATTATACTCTTATAGAATTTTATTGTTAATCAAGATATCTCGATTTTGGTCCGTAGGGGCGGATACTCCAACAAGACATCAGGAATCAGAACATTCTAGATCTATATTTCCGCAGTATCTTCAAAATTCGCCTTTTTTTTTTTTACAAGTTCATCCCAATGTCAGACCGGATGCTTTGAGTAGTGGAAATATGTCCGACCGTTAGTTGCGAGTATTTTTAGCATGTCATGTCTTGGGTCGCAGTCTATACATAGATGGTCATCGGATATGTTGATGGTCTAGACAAAACTAGACTAGGATGAAACTGGGTGTCTCACAGGGTATCTCATTCGTCCAACAGCATCAGTTGTTTCGGCCCGCTAGTTTCCACCGCATGTCACTTGTCTCGGATTATTCTTGAAGGCTTGGCAGTTCGATATTCAGGGAGGCATTGGTTGGTGTGGTTAAATAGAGTCATTCACGCCATTAGTTTCCTCCTTCAACGTGCGCGAATTGATTATTCAGTATGGCGTCTAAGACCCTGCTACTCATTCCGGCATTGGCGACGGTCGCTCTGGGGAATGTATTGGACCTCGCTATTAAGGTCCGAAATGGTTATGTATGTGAATTCTAGCTCCCTAAAATTTGTTTGCTAAGTTGTGGAATAAGAGGACCATCGAGGTTGACCTCGGAACCCCGGGAGGCCCGTTTGATCTGATGTACGACACTGGATCATCAACGCTCTGGGTGCTCGATAGCAATTGTACAGATGATTGTGTGAATGTGAGCGGGTTAGTTCATCACTCCCTCTTATTTCACGACTATATTACTGACGTCTACCAGCTACTCTCGACACAGCTATAATCTCACTTCTACCGGCGTCAACTTGGGTGTCGAAGACAGCATTGATTATAGCGGTGGCACCGTCAGCGGCTTTACTGCCACGGATATTCTCACTATCCCAAACACTGACGTCTCCTATCGCCAAAGCTTTGCGATCATCACCGACAGTACCTGGGCGGCATTGGCAGCTGATGGATTCCTCGGCTTGGCATCCTCCACCATTGCTTTCAAGAATACCACATCCGCCTTCGAACAAATGATGCAGGACGGGCTCTTGGACGAACCTCGATTTGCCCTATACGCAGGTTCCGGGGTGTCGACCACATCGAATCCTGATCCGGAGAATAATGGCGTGTTTACTTTCGGTGGTAGCCATGAGGATATCTATGCGGATGGCGATCTGCAATGGATGACTATGCTGTCCCCCTTCGAAATCTACAAAACAAATCTCCTTGGCATTCAGGGACACAACACCTCCAATGGCCAGAACATGTCCAGCGAAGTTCTAAACTGGTACGGCCAGGTTATTTTCGACACTGGTATGAACCCCCCCTACGACACTATTATTCCTTCTGAAAGACTCGGTCTAACCCATATAATGGCGTAGGCGCTTCCGCGATAAGCATTCCCAATGACCAAATTGAGGCCATGTATGCCATAACCCCGTTTTCTTACGCCGATATCTCATCCGGATACCGACCTCTGTGCTCCGATTTCAACAATACATGGTCAATCTCCTTTACAATGGGCTTCTACGGCGAGGGCGTTACCTTCAACTTGACCGGTGATCAGCTGGCTGTACCAGGGTATCAGGACGACGAGCATTGCTTCCCTCCTTTCAATCCATGGGACAGCTACAATACTATCATTGGCCAGCATTGGTTGAGCAACTTCTATGCTGTTTTCGACTTTGGATCTTTTGACCCGGAGACATATGATATCCGTGTTGGGTTGGCTCCTTTGAAGAAGGAATACCTGCCGAGGGCTTAAACTAAGCTCTACCGTCTCAGCGATCTAACATTTGCCACCAATTACAGCGCGGGTGTGAATATTTGATTCATACGGAGGGGTTTTTTATTACGTTAAATTTGTAGTAACCCGAATATCATGGAATTCTTCGCGCCTTTCTCTTACAATAGCCGGCCTAAGGTGCATACCGATTGGTTTTTAGGATCAGGGAATTGGGGGGGACCATTTCACACTGGACCAGTGAAGCAGCAGCAGACGGGTAATAATTCCAGCGGCGCTGGTGGCCTTGATATTGTTAGAGATTTCGTCCCTGTGCACAGTGTCTATTGGAAGGGCGTCAAAGGTCACGGATGTTAGGACAGCTATGGTGACGGCGACATATATCGATGTGGTTATTGATCCGGGGTTATTTTGGGCAGAAAATGTATGCGGAATCGTAAGGTTCTATGTTGATGATGCAGACCACCGGGTTTCTTGCTGGTGCTGGGACGATGAAGACGGAGGTCTGACGGTGCTGTGTGTATGGTCCCCTGAAGAGTGTGGGCTGACGGGCATGTCGATAGACATACATAGGTCACAGCGATGTACCCTCGCAAGCACAACATGACTAGTGCAACCATGAACTCTGATTTTGTGAACAGTACCCCGATAGGGCAGATGAGATGATAATACTAGCGTTAATCTAACCGAGTATCTTCCAAAAGCTTTGAAATATCCCTTTATATCCAAAAGATATCGTATAGTAACCAATTAATTTCCAATATTCGTATACATCATATCTCTCTACTCATCAAGATTATACGGAACTCCTTTCTCGATCACGAGATCCCTGGCAGATTTGCCCGAAACGGAACGAATATCAGGATCGGCCCCGGCTTTCATCAGGACATCTAGAACAACCTCCCGTATATGCCGAGCGCTTTGGTTGGTTTCCGGCTCATAATAATGTGTCTCCAGGTAGTAATACAGCGGCGTGCGGCCCTTGTTGTCTTGTGCGTTGATATCCTTGTCAGCACCCTGGGCCAAAAGGAACCTCAGGCCGACCAGCTTCCAGTCCGGATTATGCAGAGTAAGATGGAGCTCTGTCTGGCCTTGAGCATCGGCCCGTAATTGTGCGCCCATCTCCATCAGAGTACGAAACAGTGGTATCATGTCCTCATGGTGGGGCAGTATGTGGTGAAGGAAACTTTTCCCCTGGCCATCTAGACTGCTCAGATCGGCCCCCTGTTCTTTGAAAAAGTATAAAAGGCGCATACTAAGTTTTTCAACTTCGGGATCATAGTGGCTGGAAGACCAGCAGTTGGTGAGGTGGAAGGCGGTTTGGCCATCCTTGGTACGATAATTGGCCAAATCTGGCACCGCAGGACACGTGAGGGGCCAGAGAAGCTTGATTATGTCGAGATGACGACCCATACATGCTCGATGAATGGGCAAGTAGCCGTCGGGGTTCATCTTGAGGGGGTCTGCTCCGTGATCTAGCAGGAACTGGACGTTCGCGAGACGGCCACTTGCCGCGGCGGTGTGAAGCAAGTAACCTTTAAAATAGCGGTCCCTACCCGGGAGTTCCTCGTTCATATTTATCACAGCACCCTCACGCTGATAGAAGAAGCGGATAAGATCCGGGTGTCCGTTCCGAACCGCCCGGCCGAAAAGTGTGATATCCTTATCTTCTGCTCCCCCGCCGGAGCCCTCAGGGAGGTTCACGCCGTGGTCAAGAAGCATATTGACCATATCCATGCCCATTGAGCTGTCAATCGTGGCGTGGATTATTGGTCGGTCCTTTGCCCAGGGTGTGTATGTGTAAATGGACATTGGGGGTTCTGCATTCGGGCGGGCTCCACGGTCAAGTAACAGCCGGAAAGTGTCGATCCCCCTAGGCCATGATTCCTCGGGTAGGGCCGGAAATATCCCATGGTAAGGATCATAGTCCCAGTTTTCAGCAGCGTCAATCAAAGCGCGGTCCAGAATATCTTGTGGTATCCCCGGGGAAGGGTATCTACGGAGCAGAATGTCCAATGTTTTTGGATGACGATGAAGTGCCGCAGCAGCGACGGCAAGAGGCCATTCATCGCTGCCAATGGCGACTGGGGGTAAGCGCTCAATCAACCGGTCGATCACCGCGTGGGATCCCCAAAACGCTGCGGCCATAAAAGGAGTGTGTGGCTTCGCTTCACTTCCACCAAGAATGCCGCGGAATCCATCTGCTGAAACGTCATCTATGGTCGCATCTGCTCCTGCATCTAGGAGAATATCCACCATCTCGGCATTATTGTTCGCGGCGACAAAGTGCATAGGTGTCAGGCAAATTTCACCATATGGCTCAGGACCCTTCTGGTTGACATCGAACCCCCGGGAAATAAGGTAACGGAGGATCTCTGTCTGTCCCCATCTGATGGCCTCGTGTAGCGCCGTCTCGCCAAAAGTAGGAATATCCACTCCTTCCGGGGAGTCAAAGATCGCAGCCACGGCGGGGAAATTGCCGACGGCAGTCCACCCCATTAACTGATGTTCAGGGCCAGCGTCAAGATTATATGGGGGTCTTGGGTAGCAGCAGGCCATGATGGCTGAAGGCTGCGAAGAAACTTCAGTGGAAGGAGGTTGTAAACAGGAGGATTAAAACTCTGGGATCTAGTTGAGAAAGAAAGTTAAAGTGGAGTAGCGAAGAGTATAATACCTGGCAGACTAGCATTGATGCATCTCACGCGGTATGTTACGGAACTGGTATGTAATATACGATTAGCCTGGCAGCAGGATACAGAATTGCTGTGAATCATGCCATTTTACGACACAATGTGCATCCACAAAAGTCCAACGGTAGCAACAAGAGTAAGGTAATTGTTAATTGCAGTAAATTGATAGGTATACTCGCATGCCAATGGTAGGCTCAAGCCTAGCTGCTTATTTGGGTCAATGCAGTTATCATGGTTGAGTGAATTTGATACAGAGCTGAGGAGAACAAGGAATGGGCTATGGAGATCGAATCAAGCAGGTCTCCACGTTAGACCGTGTGCGAATTTCTGTTGAGCAGGTGTGATTGGCAGTAGATATATCAATGCGTTCAGAAGTCGGCTCGGTTTACACATCCGCGAGGTCGCACACTATGGGAATATTATCTGTAAGTTGTCCAGACCATAGACATTGCGGTTCCCAATAATATGGTGGTTTCAACTTACTCCTAAGTGCACCCTTGAGAATACCTCCCCAGGCACTGTTGCAAGTGGAATAAGGGGACTGCGACATCATCCTTAATTTTGGAACCCAGCAATCATAACAAAACTCTTGCCTCGCCACTTCAGCCGGGTTTACCTTCGAGGGGAATCTATCAATGATCTCTGGTTCCCGTGAGCAATCTATCAGTCTACTCTGTATTATCTAAATGAGTGGGAGCCAACAAACCATTACAGTAGGTCCCATTCGGACTCCTCAGGCACGTTTCATTCCAGCCTGCCCAAACACTATCAATCACGGAAAGAGCCGGAGTTCCTCGTGCGACTGTAGCGTCTAGGCCACACTGTGCCACAACGTTGTCATGAAAGGTAGATAGAGACTGGCCACATTCAGTTGAACACACAGTGTCAGTCAGGCTGATACTCTTCAGACTACCATGATAGTCCCCTCTTCCAAGCTTCAAAACATATTTGTCGCATTTCAATGTGGCGTATAGAGCATCTTGACAGCTTTGTGTGAGACTGGAATCGCTGAAATCCTGGCTGGATACTAGTTGAACTGAACTGGTCTTGGAGTCATATGCTTCATGCGGAAGCAAGGGCGATTGGGAGTTGTGCCCGAGACCACCCTGCGCCAACAGGGATAGCCATAAGAGTACGGAAATGGGATGAAACGACCACATCATGCCTAGCTGCTGCAAGTTTGACCCCGGCAGCGATTGAATATGTGATTGAAAGCAACACAGAATTTTCACTTTCTCAGAGTCATCTTAGCGATCGTTCTTATGTCTTACAACAGCTGTTAAGACGGTACGAGACCTACAACAGGGGCTCAACCGTTGTAATTTTGGACCCCTAGCCTACCCGAATGGTCCGGCCATTGGAGCTCAAAAAGTCGACATCGGAAATTGTGGTGGACTCTTGAAAGCAAAATAGCGATCCGGACCTGATTCCGATGGGTCGGGGACCCGACCGGGTAAAGCGTGAAGTTTAGTATGCAAATAGTCGACTCGTTCGAGGGCCTTGGCACGAGCTTAGCCCCATTATCCCTATCGAACCCTTAAGGTTCCACCAAATGCAGGGTTTTTTGGTCCACTAATTGGGCGCTTGTGCTAACAAGAAGAAATTTTCCCTTCCAGTTTGACGGTGGGAAGGTTTCATAATCTGACAGGTGTTATCGCACCTGCTTTCAGGCCTAACAACCAAGATCGAACCGCCGGAGGTCCTGTTCAGATAGCATTCGCTAACAGCCAATACGTGGAAGATCATCTATACAGAAGGTCCACTGTTTTCGCACGGATAGCCTTGCGGCTCTGGGGTGTCCTCGCCGCGCCGATCCAGACCAGAGACCTTGATATATCCACCACCTCGGCCTAGTCTAACACGCAGTCGGAGCTCAAACTAGGAGCTTGTCTCGACATGCCTTATCGGGTTACTGGACTTCTTCATCGCGGCTGCTATCCACACGGGGCCAAGACTTATCGGAAATTAACCGCTAATCAAAGGTACAGCCGTATTGAACCTATCGAGTTCGTCTCGGGATAGCCAAGATATATTACGATTTAATGGTGAAGACTTCGTCCGGCCTACTCCCGGATTTCTTCCTCAATACTCTTTGACTTCGTTCCAACGCAGACTTGCGAAAGATATGAGAGCAAACAAGATATCACGCGCTGTACACGTCACTAATCGGCATCACACTCGCTTTCACCTTATTTCCCGAATCTGGAATGCTACCCTCAGAGCCGTAACAATTAACAACTGACCCGTTACCCGAAGTTCGTCATTGCTCCATTGGCTGCCTAGAGTATCTTCTCTACCAACACCACATAATGACGGACATCGGTGATTTCAATTCTTGTCAAAGGCTAGTCAGATAGATGCCGTGGGCCTAGAAATAGAATTTCATGATACAGAAGACAGGTCCTTCGCGGAAAGAGGGTGACGATCTTAGTCACTTTGACCGGGACATTTCGCAATTGTTCCGAAGATAAATAAAGGCTGTTCCTCCTCGCTAACCTAGCTAACTTTCTCCAGTAGTATCCCAGTAGTATTTCTATATGCATATGTACGTACGCACAGCTCTCGTGGTTCGTGTGTTCCTGGCCAGTCAGATGGCAAGTCTGTCCACGATGCGTTGATAAATTTAGCCAATGCCAAACCTAATATGGATGAGTGTCAAGGCCGACAGCTTCCAGAAATCACGATGGCATAGGTATCAATACGCACATGCGTGCTATTAAAAGCCAGTGATTCGTGAGGAAGATTGCGTGTGCCTTTGTTGCCACGAAGGATATGATTGCGATCATTACATGCTTATGAACCAATCTTTGACCACAAACCGTTCCGCCATCCTTGGTGGGAAAATTGGCCTGCAGTCTCATTCATTCTATAAGGTGACAGCGTTGTCAAATTCTGTTATAGGTTGAAGTAGTACTCACAGCTGTTTTGTGGCTGGTCACGAATCTCCTTCGATACCTAAGATCATTCTAGCCACACTGGCCACATATATTCTGGGAATCACACGGTCGCTGCCTATATGGTTCCCACCATCTACCTATCCGGTGATTTAGTTATCGGGTCTTTATGAGGAGCTCTTAAAGGAGCTGGAGCCATGAACCAGCTGTTTCGTGATGACGCTGGCAAATATATTCCGAAAAGCGGCTGCTAAGGGTCATGGGCTAGCAAGCTGTAATTGCGATCATACCCGTCTAAACTGGATACTATACCTACTATAGTGTAATCATTATATAGTATCTAACTCGGGGTATTATCTGTTCCAATTATAGCGAAGTGTTATCTGATTTTACACGTTTAATCGGTCCGTGAAACGGGGAACTTTCTCGGTTCCATAATAGACTCTAGGCCTAAGTCAGGGCTAGAATACTGCTCATTTCTACTAGCAATTGATGTTCCTTAAAAATTTCACAGCTACTTCTGAGCATTACGAAAACGTGGTGGGTTTGCTTGGTGGAGCGCCGTGGATTCTGCCACCTTCGTATGTTCGTATACTCGGGAGGCATGCTCGTAAATTCGTATAGTTCGCATAGAGCAGCCCCACTCCGGAGACACTCCGTTTCCAGTTTTAGACTTTTAAGCTTGATTTTCAGGCAGTCTATCTTGGGCAACGTATGTGATTGGTGATCTTAATAGAGTGCATGTACATGATATCTATGGGGTTGCTACGTTGAGCAGTTATGGTTCTCAACGATGGGCAATTGCAGCCTTTTCTGTCGGAGACCTGGGATCGAGGCCTGGTCTGCGCCACGAATATCTCTAGATACTGGATATGGTAAAATGTTCGACAACGTAGAGATGTTAGAAGAGTGTTCCCTTTGAATTTTGGACAATAATGAGTGCCTCGATGGCTAGGCCATCTTCAATATTCAGGGCTTCGGTCTGTCAGTATTACGATGCTTCAATGGGTGAGGATTATCAGATAAAGTCTATACTACTAAGGATATCTCCAATCCTTATATCAATCTATCAACGTATGACTGTATTCCAAGATCTTCGAGTATTTATCGTACCATCGCGTTCTGAGGCTGAAAATGAAAGTCCACGTGTTTGGATGTGGGCGCTGCGGTTATCACCCCTCATCTCAGAACATATTTTAATATCAATCCGCTGTGTATAATAGGCGTTTCGTGAAAACTGTGCAGCCTTATCCTCTCTGCGAACAAAAACTTAGATGTTGGTCCCTTGGGTCCCAGCGGTTAGGGCGTGGCGGTCCGCTCGATCTCTCCGCGGACCCACACGTATTCGTATATGCTAAGGCTCGAAGGATCTCAGGGTCCAATGCAGCGATTTTGACATCCTTATATTAATCTCATCTCATCTAGTGCTACAGTTTCCATTCCTCATCAAATCTCTCCTTCATTCCTTACCCCTACTATACCCAAAATGGCCTCCCAAAATGACTCCAATGTATCCTTCGTCCTCTATCGATACACTCCGTCGATACCAGCCGCTGCCATTTTCACTGCTGTTTTCATCATCCTGGCGATAGTCCACACCTATATGGCATTTAGATACCGATCGAAATACTTTATCCCTTTCATTATTGGGTTGATTTGTAAGTGCATCTTCGAAAATCCGCAACACTCGCCAAACTAACGTACCGCGGTATGAACAGTCGAAGCAGCCGGCTACATCGCCCGAATCTTCTCCCACTATGACCCTCTCGCCCTCGGCCCCTACATCGTTCAGACCATGCTCATCCTCGTCGCGCCTCCGCTCTTCGCTGCCTCAATCTACATGACCCTAGGCAGATTGATCCTCTACCTCGATGCTGAATCTGCCTCTCTCCTTCGCGTGAAATACATCGCTAAAATATTCGTCGTCGGGGATATTATTTCCTTTCTATTGCAATGCGGAGGTACCTATACCCTACTACACCATCATGTTTTTCCCGAGGTTCCCTAACACAGACTTTCTATTACAGGTGGTGGCTACATGTCCGCCGGCAGCCTCTCCGCCATGGAAGACGGCGCGCACATCGTCATAGGCGGTCTAGCCGTGCAACTTCTCTTTTTCGGATTCTTCATTATCGCTAGTGCTATCTTCCATTATCGCGTTAAGAAAAATCCGCAATACTACACCACTAGACAAGTGGCATCCTCCTCCCGTCGCGACTCGTGGGAATGCATGCTATGGTGTATTTACGGGGCGTGCGTGCTTATTCTCATTCGATCGATCTATCGTGTCGTTGAGTTCGTCGAGGGAAATGATGGATTCGTTATGCATTTGGAGTATTTGTTGTATATCTTTGATGCCGTGTTGATGGCGCTGCAGGCGATCTTGTTGTTGGTTGGGTATCCTGGGCGGGTGCTGGGAGGTGGGAAACGGGGGGATGGGGGTGTGCCGTTAGAGGATAGGGCGGATTCGGCGGAGGGTTTCTTGAGAGGTGGGAAGGTGGCTGTTTAGGTTTTGTATTTGGTATCGGTATGTATTTTTGATTACCGAATTGGAACAAAGGATTGGGTTATGGAGTTTGAGGCGTATCATTGTGCTATATAGATTAGTTTGTTATTGTTGATTATATTGTTCATTAAAGGAGTACATTGTCATAAAATTACTCCTCCTGCATTGCCATCGGCCACTGCATCAGGGGCATCAGCGCCCCGTCTCCCAGCTTCACAACCAGCATTTGGGTGTTCCGGATCTCTCTTGGAAACGTCCCTCGTAGATACCAGAGATCCTCAAATAGAAGCAATATCACATAGAAATGTGCCAGGATCACATATGAAAAGCCTTCGAAGATACCAGCATCCTGTCCCTGCTGTAGCGAGGAAATAAACGATTGTGATATGAGATGCGGCCACGACAGAACAGCGGCATCTTCGAGATCGGTCTGAATATCCATTGAGACGGAGCTATCGCGCTCACTAGCTGTGAACCGAAAGACGTAGAGAGTGCGCATGTACATGTCCTCAAGACGATCGATCGTGCTGATCTGTTCGCGTAGAAGTTCTGGAATCGTTTGGATGTTGGGAGATCCATAGGATTCTGGGCTCGGAGTGTCTTCCATGTTTATCCCATAGTCCTGGGTAAGAGTGTTCGCGAAGGCACGCAATAAGGAAATCTGCTGAGCGGCGCCTTGGGAGAAGCGGATAAATCGAGGGGGGGCGCCTTGTAGACGTGGAAACACCGGTGTTGGTGATGTGGCCGGAAAGTCCTTCCAGTGCTCATTAGCGTGAGGATACTGCA